AGATAAAGTCCAGATAACATGAAATCCATCATGTTTATTTCCCCAGTAACACCACACTGCTGCTCTCTGTGGGGATCGTAGGAGCGCTGCTGTTGCTCACTGTTGTAATTGTTGTTACCCTGATACTTAGGAAAAGATCTGGTGAGAATGGCCGCTTGTGAAAATTCAGTGAAAACCTCTAGTTGTTATAAATAAGAAATTCAAGTGAGTCTGTTTTCACCAAATTATCATTAATTTTCTTTTTAGCAATGAGCAAGGCCAGAAACAGGAACAGAGAAAACACGGCTGACCTCAGTGTAAGTGTATCTTTGGACATCTCGTTTACGGGTGCTGTGTGTGAACCTTTGCATGACACATTCAGTCCAGCTGTGAACTTTCCACCACAGTCTGGTCTGGTCCTCTGCTAGATAAGAATAGTTTAGCAGAGCTGAATGTGTGAAAACTGCAGCAAATCACACTATTAAGCATTAGCTCTTATACCACAGAAGGCACAGGAGTCGGGAAGTCGGGTAAACACGGGATTTAATTGCAAACACAAACACTTGAATGCGGACTTAAATATACAGGACTAATTAACAAGACTGGAAACAGCTGGTGACATTGGCATTCCACACGAGGTAAATGAGGGGAGCATGGCACACAGGAGGATCAGACGAGCAGGGCATATTCATGTGTCTTTGTGTATTTATTGATGTGTAAAGGATAAGGGGGTTATGAAATTGATTTTTATTATTTCTTTAACTAGACAGTATAAAAGTAATGGTACATGATTACGGCATCCATTTACAGTGTGTTTCCTCCCTCTAATTATACATAAGAATGTAAGAAAGTTACAAATGAGAGGAGGCCATTCGGCCCATCGAGCTCACTTGGAGGCAATTAAACTACCCCTTTGGGCAGACTATTCCATATTCTAATTACACACTGTGAGAAGTAGTTCTTACTCAGACCCAAACTAAAGTGTTCCTCTACTAATTTCCAACTGCCCACAGGTTGTTGAATTAGAACTTATGCTGAAGCAGCAGTTTTCATGAACAGCATCCAGGCCTGTTACAGTCTTGTATACCTGGATCATGTCCCCCCTTAGTCTCCTTTGCTTAACGCTAAACAAACTGAGCTCTGCCAACCTCTGTTCATAAGACATCCCCCTACAGCCAGGAGTCATTCTTGTAGGCCTGCACCGGACTCCTTCTAAAGCGGCAATGTCCTTTATGTGGTAAGGTGACCAAACAGTGCAACAGTAATGGTACATGATTACAGTATCCATTTAAAGTATGTGTCCTACTGTTGTGGATACAAGAAGACGGACACTGACGCGGCAAGCTGTAAGTCCTGATTGTTTATTAGCTTCTTCTTGAAGGAAGGTCAGAAGTTCCCAGGACCAAGCCCGAGAGCGTGGCTGAAACTCTGGCGGGGAGGCAGGTTGATCGGCTTCGGTACAGACGGGGGAGAGGCGAAAAACACGGTCGGGAATCCAGGCAGGGGTCGGGCGATCGGCGTCGGTCCAGAAAGGGGCAAAGATGAAAAACACAGTCAAGGGTCCAGGCAGTGGTCGGGCGATCGGCGTCGGTCCAGAAAGGGGGTAGGCAGAAACTCGGAGTCTAGAAAACGTAGCAGAGGTCAGAACACAGGGAAACACACACCGGAAAAAACGCTCGAACTCAGGGCAAACCATGAAGATCTCGCACTGATCAGACAGCCGAGTTGCCTGATATAGTAACACCAACACTGGGGAAAACAAGACACAGCTGGGAGAAGAGTGTCTGAAACGGGAGCAACCGGTACGGCCAGAACAACTGGTTGACAGGAGGCAAACACCTTGGGGAAGCCCTATCGACCGGAATCCCCAGAGGGTCGTGGCTGAGACGACGAAGAGGGTTCCCTAGTGCTATCCATGACACCTACCTGTAATTATACAGTGTAAAAGTAACAGTACATGATTACTGTATCCATTTAGAGTCTTTTTTCCCACTCCAGTCCCCTGTCGACCCCAGTGATGAAGTGACATACATCTCAGTAAGAGCAAAGGCCAGAAATATAGCTCCTTCATCTACTCAGGTCATGCCATTAGAAAACATGGTAAGAACCTAAGGATCTCCTACATGTACATGAACATAATCTGAGACCCATCCATCAGGAAACAATATTTCTAACACAACATAAATTTCCTTGAGTTGCACAAACATTGTGGCATAAATGAAAATCCATGCATTTTATTTGGGTTTATCCAGCTTGGAAACAGTGTTCGCACAGTCCTGAAGATAATGCAGCCTAGTAACACTGTATGTTNAGGCAGAAACTCGGAGTCTAGAAAACGTAGCAGAGGTCAGAACACAGGGAAACACACACCGGAAAAAACGCTCGAACTCAGGGCAAACCATGAAGATCTCGCACTGATCAGACAGCCGAGTTGCCTGATATAGTAACACCAACACTGGGGAAAACAAGACACAGCTGGGAGAAGAGTGTCTGAAACGGGAGCAACCGGTACGGCCAGAACAACTGGTTGACAGGAGGCAAACACCTTGGGGAAGCCCTATCGACCGGAATCCCCAGAGGGTCGTGGCTGAGACGACGAAGAGGGTTCCCTAGTGCTATCCATGACACCTACCTGTAATTATACAGTGTAAAAGTAACAGTACATGATTACTGTATCCATTTAGAGTCTTTTTTCCCACTCCAGTCCCCTGTCGACCCCAGTGATGAAGTGACATACATCTCAGTAAGAGCAAAGGCCAGAAATATAGCTCCTTCATCTACTCAGGTCATGCCATTAGAAAACATGGTAAGAACCTAAGGATCTCCTACATGTACATGAACATAATCTGAGACCCATCCATCAGGAAACAATATTTCTAACACAACATAAATTTCCTTGAGTTGCACAAACATTGTGGCATAAATGAAAATCCATGCATTTTATTTGGGTTTATCCAGCTTGGAAACAGTGTTCGCACAGTCCTGAAGATAATGCAGCCTAGTAACACTGTATGTTCTCCCTTAGACCTCAGCAGACCCAAATGTGATCTACAGCAACACGAAAACACAGAGGAAAAAGGTGTTTCCCTTTCATTCCTGGAGCCTCACACTGTTGTTGTTTTTAGATAACAGGCATCAAAACCCCCTATTGCTGGTGCACTAATGTACAGACACATTATATTTAGACTATGGCTGTAATGTGCAAAAAATTTTTGTACATAGTTTGAAAGGTTAATTTTCCAGTTTAAAAATCTCTACTTTGGTAATGTTTACAAAAACACAAATCAAAAATGCATGTAGCTGTTCTGTTTGCAAAATTTGTGTTATTGTGCACATGACCCACCTGCACAGCTGCAACCCCAAAGCTGAAATGCACCTCTAGCTAAACTCAGGATCCTCTGTCTGCTTCCCCAGGCTGCAGCAGATCCACAAGAGGTCACCTACAGCGCTGTGGCTCGCAAATAGAAAGTGACTAGACCCTCCCCCCAGTCCCCAGCTGAAGGGACCTGAAATGACGCTGATGCTCACTGATGTACTGATGTTTAATGTTGTGAGTGAGACAGGAATCCATGACTTTTGAAGCGTTTAGTCATTGATTGCAGTTTGTATGAAAGCAAAGCGAAATGCTTAACAGTTTAGCCCACATAAGTGTAGCCTGTATGATGGGTAGGGCAGTGCCATTTAAGTGGACCCTGCCCCTTTGTGTCAATTAGTCCAGGTGGCAGAGGCGCTTTCCCTTTACAGTTTTTTCCAATCAGTTTCACACTTGTCTCAATACCATGTCCACTTTTTCAAATCACTTAACACATGTATCATACCATTGGACTATGTGAGCTAAACTATGTATACTTTTGCATTGCTTTGACACAATATGCATTCAATCACCACTTCCCCCAAATTTCATCAATACATCTCTCAGTCAGTGTTCACCACCAGCAAAACTTTGTACAACTATAGCAGATTTTTCAGAAGTTTAGATAATCTGTTCAAAACAGTTAACTTTCAGGTCAAAACCTAATGAAATTTAGAGCACTGCAAATTGAAATATGCTGCATTTTGACAGACAATGGGCACTATGCACTTACACTAACACAAATAATTATGCTTTTAGCAGAAATTTCGTATTTTTGTTTTTGTTTGCTGCTTTGTTACCATCTATACCATCTATGCAAATGAGGTCATGAAGTGTCCCTTTCCTTTTTGCATCGCAACACAATGTAATCTGTGAAAAAACAGTGGATATGGCAACACATATATTACAGTACAACATTTACATGTATTCATTTAGCAGGCAGTTTTATCCAAAGCTACTCACAGTGAAGTACTGTAACTACAGGGACAGTCCCCCTGGAGCAAGTTGGGGTCAAGGGCCTTAAGAACATAAGAACATAAGAACTATACAAACGAGAGGAGGCCATTCAGCCCATCAAGCTCGCTTGGGGAGAACTTAACTAATAGCTCAGAGTTGTT